CGATCATTTATTTTAAAACAAATGGGTTGATCGGATATCCTATTTCTTACATGATCTGCGTTGTACCATAAACGTGTCAGGTTCGGGAGTCGGTTACGGTCAAGGAATGATTAGCACCCTTGAACCGCCCTTTCGGCACCAATTAATTTATCGGTTGTCTTAATTGCAAAAATTAAAAAATTTAAATTTAAAAACTCGATTCAAATTACTTACCTTTGATTGGTTGAAGTTTTTCTAAAAAAGTCAAAAATGTTAGAAAATATAATAATAAACAAATGTTAGATAAATCAAAGAAAAACATAAAAAATAAAGAATAAAATAAAATAAATCAAAAGGAAAAATAAAATTTAAAAAAACATTATTAAATCTAGGTGAAAATAAAATAAATAAAAATGAAAGTAAAAGTAAAAGTAAAAAGGAAAAGAAAAAAAATACAAACTAAAAAATAAAAAACATATATATTTATATAAAATAATATTTAATAAATAAAAGAAAAAAAGAAAAGAAAACGTATATACATATGAAACAAAAAACGAACAGAAAGATAAAACAAATAAAAAAAGATGAAAAAAATATATATAAAAATAATGAAAATAAAAAAAATAAAAATTAAATAAAGAAAAGAAAAAGAAAAATGAGAGAGAGAAAAAGTCAAAGGAAAAATAAATAAATAAAAAAAGAAATCAAAGAAAACGAAAAAAATGAAAAAAATAAGAAAAATAAAATAAAATGGAAAATAATTAAATAATATTAAAAAAGGTTAAATTTTAAAAAGCAATAAAATAAAGAAAAATCAAAAATAAAATAAAGTAACAACTTAGAGGATCAAATTGAGACAAATTGAAATTAATGGACTAGATTGGTATTAAAATGAACTGCAAAAGAAAAAAGAAAACGTTAGGTGCCAATTCACAAAATATAAAAAATATAAGCAGGGATTAAATTGATTAAATTGGAAATTCGGAGGCAACTTTACAGGTAATGACCAAACTGAACTGCGACTCAAAGTACCAGGGACGACGGAAGGAATTTAAGAATCTTGTATTTGCAGTATGGTCCTTGGTATATAAATAAGCTAAAACTCCTCATTTCATTTCATTTTCACATTTTCTCTCAAATCCTTTCTCCCTCAGCCGAGAGAATGCTCTCAATTCTCCCAGAAAACGGCTAAAATCCGGCCACCACTCTGGTGGCTACCCACCGCGCCGGCTGTCACTGTCGGCGGCCGAAAAAACCCAAACCTCTCCAAAATAACCTCCTCTACCTCCTCAACACTAATCCGTAAACAAAATCCCACAGAACGGCCCCAAAAAACGTAGATCTACGTTTTTAGTTACAGTTTTTACCTCACCGACGATGACTCTTCGGCTCCCGATGTGTTTGGCTTTGAATGGTTTGTGGTTCACTGTTGTTTTTTGTTGTTTGTGATGTTAGCTTGATGGTTTTTGGTTATTTGATATGGGTTTGTGGTTTAATATGACGCCTCGGTTTACTATTTTTCGATGATCTTGTGTGTACCGTCATTTCTGTGATGGACTCTCGCTGTTCTATTTCGACTGTGTTTGGTGTTGTTGGTACTATTTTCTCTCGGGTTCTTTCGATGATGTACTGTTGTTGTTCAGTTTGCTCGGTTTCTGTTGTGTTTGGTTTTCTGGCATTGTACTGTGTTGGTTTGGTACCGTGGTTCCGTGTGGGTTTCCCTCGGTTCTGTGTTCTGCCCCCGTACTGTGTTGGCCGTGGGTTTTTATAACCCCCACCGGTCGTTATGAGTCCCGACGATCTCGGGATCGTGGCTGTTAGTTGACCGAGATATTTGTGCACGTTACACCGGTTACCTCGGGATGGTTCAATCCCGTAGGTGCGGCCGGATTTGTCGCCTGGCCGTTGGCTTGACCGTTCGGTTACCTCTGACTCATGCGGCGCTGATTGCTTGGCATCATTTTAGGATTTCTAACCCTAAACATTATTATTGGACCGTTTCATTGGGCTGGTTCAGACCCGTTTCTTTGATTATTTAGACCCCATTTTAGACCTGAAATAAACAATAATAAAATAAATAAATAAATAATAAATGAAATAAAATAAATAAATAGATAAATAAATTAAAAACATTTTTTAAAACTATACAATATATGTTTTAAAAAATAATTTTCAACACCATATAATATATATTTTTAAAAAATAATTTTCAAAACTATATAATATATTTTTTTTAAAACTAATTTTCAAAACTATATAATATATATATTTTAAAAACTAATTTTCAAAACTATATAATATATATATTTTAAAAACTAATTTTCAAAACTATATAATATATATTTTTAAAAACTAATTTTCAAAACTATATAATATATATGTTTTTCAAAAATGTTTTTAAAAACTATATATTATATATATATATATATATTTTTTAAAGTTTTCAAAACAATATAATATATATTTTCAAAAATGTTTTCAAAAACTATATATTATTTATTTTCAAAATATTTAAAAAAACCCATATATTATATAATTTTCAAAATGATTTCAGGATCGTGGTTGTTGGTTGACCGAGATATTTGTGCACGTTACACTGGCCGCCTCGGGATGGTTCAGTCCCGTAGGTGCGGCCGAATTTGTCGCCTGGCCGTTGGCTTGATCGTTCAGTTACCTCTGACTCATGCGACGTTGATTGCTTGGCACCAATTTAGGGTTTCTAACCCTAAACATTATTACTAGACCGTTTCATTGGGCTGGTTCAGGCCCGTTTCATTGGGCTGGTTCAGGCCCGTTTCATTGGGCTGGTTCAGGCCCGTTTCTTTGATTGTTTGGACCCCGTTTTAGACCTAAAACAAACAATAATAAAATAAATAAATAAATAATAAATGAAATAAAATAAATAAATAGATAAATAAATTAAAAACATTTTTTTAAAAAACTATACAATATATGTTTTAAAAAATAATTTTCAACACCATATAATATATATTTTTAAAAAATAATTTACAAACTATATAATATATATTTTAAAAACTAATTTTCAAAACTATATAATATATATATTTTAAAAACTAATTTTCAAAACTATATAATATATATATTTTAAAAACTAATTTTCAAAACTATATAATATATATATTTTAAAAACTAATTTTCAAAACTATATGATATATATTTTTTAAAACTAATTTTAAAAACTATATAATATATATATTTTTCAAAAATGTTTTTAAAAACTATATATTATATATATATTTTTAAAAAAAATCAAAACATTATAATATATATTTTCAAAACTGTTTTCAAAAACTATATATTATTTATTTTCAAAATATTTAAAAAATCTATATATTATATAATTTTCAAAATGATTTCAAACTATATAATATATATATACAAATAAAAAAATGGACGAAAATTGGTGTCTACATATATATGTAAGAAAAAGGTGAAAATTCATCTTGTAAAAAAATGAGGTGGATGAATCTTATTGATTGGGACCACAGATGACATGGTATGCCGAGTCCATGTAATAATTTTTTGTCATTAACATATCAACAGATTTTAGAAGAAAAAAACTGTGATTTAACAATTTCAAATGTTTAAAAATTAAGGCTTAACTGCATCATTGCTCCCTAAAGTATACTATTTATATTGAGTTGTCCCCTAATATATTTTTCAGGACGTTTTGCCTCTAAAATTTAAATCATTATCATGATTGATTCGAATCGTTAACTTCGGTAAAAAACCAAGGGCAAATTATATAATTAATCAATCAATTATTCATGAAGTTTAGTTTTGGTTATCCAACTTTTTTTTTTCTCTTTTCGAAATCATCGCTAAAAGTATATGACTTCTTTACAAGCTTCTAGAATTCTTATTCTTCAAAGCAAATCCATGCCGCCATGTCCGTCTTAAAGCTTCCATCGATCAGGCTTCGCGCAAGTTAAAGAAACCACCGTTGTTCCCATACATCTCGAACACCATATCCACTTGTCCAATGTGCTCGAACACATTAACTGTTGAAGCTAAAGCTTCTGCAACAGTCGCCATTACTGCTGTCCAAGCTCCATTGGAAGACCTCATGGCTAAAGCTGCATGTTGGAAAACGTCTGTATGTTTTATTTTTCACACTATAGCATACGTGGTCTTCTTGGTTGTCCTGCCTTTTAGTTTTTATCTACCAGTTTTTTTAGGTAAGCTTTTATTCATCTTTTTCTTTATGTTTCCTTGCATAAATAAAATAATATTTTTGGTCATAAACAATAAAACTAGAAACAGGAACTTATTCTATTTGCAGCTTTGGTTACCTATATATTTCATTGATTTATTGGATATTCAAGCAACACTAATTCATCTAAGTTAATTTAAATCTCTTGATAGTTGATGTTTTACAAGCTTCAAAAATATGAGTTTAATATTATTTTATAGAAATAAAGAATATGAGTTAGTTTTTCTGTTATTATATTATTGGAAGAACCTACAACACACGTCGCATACCGCAACGTATAACTAAAGCGACATACCAAAACATACCACAAGTAAATTTATCTTTATTAAGTAAATATTAAAAAATATAAGATTTTATCTAAAATTAACTATTAATTAAAATTTAGTTTTACTTTTAATAGAATTATATTTAAATTATGATTTTTATCAAAATAATAATTAATTAATTAATTTAATTTCCTTATAATTAAGATTTGTAAATTATTTATGTTAAAAACGGTCATCAGAGTCACCGTCGGAGACTTTGATTTGTCAAAAAACTCGGTGAAAAACTCGTCGAAAAAATATTATATTATAAATCCAGCATTCCCGTTTGCTTTTGCCCTATTCACCGTCACCCATTAATCACTCAGCAATCGCCCGGCATTCGATCGCCCAGGAAAAGCTCAACAGAAAAGTTTCCGGTGTCCCTCTGTTTCCAGTGAATTGCTTCTCTGATTGGTACTCTCTATCATCCATAACCATATCCATAAGAGCAAAAATATTGGCCTTTGAGTAACGAACAAACCCTCACCTGTGGCCTCAACCAGCAACAAGATCACTTTGCTCCGATGGACAAAATATTCCATGAAAGACGACACAATAGAAGTGCAGCCCTGCATATCATAAGTGCATTTAAGATAACAGATTAATGCAATGTAATAAGCCACCTCATCTAACAAGTGGTACATGGAATAAAGCATGATATATTATGTTTTCTCCAGAACATATTATCAGCTTTTTGTATTATTACATAATGTTTAGAATCTCAGAGCCTCATGTGCATGTAAACAATATTACATCCATGAAACCAAATCTTGAAGCCGATTAAGAGAAGAAGATTACCAATTAAACATGATAAGAGAAACTCAAGTACCTTGATGAAACAAAGGATTGATCCTGTTAAAGACCCAAAAACAGCTAGAAGAGTCATAAACCAACATCGATAAACGACCTGTAAAAATTAAAATTACATCCAAAGACGGAGTTAAGTCCGAGAAACCATATACTATCTAAAGAATCATATATATAACATCAGACCTTCTCTATTCGCTCTTCTGTAGCTTCCAGGTTACTGGATGTGGTCTGGGTGTCCAAATCGGAATTGGCTGCAGCAAAGGCCAACGAAGACATGTTCCGGAGAGTAAGAATTTAGCGGCTGCACAAGGAGGGTGATGTACAGAAACACAAATAGAGGGGGTTGGAATGTAAATTTACCATTCACGTGCAATCCAATGGAAAGGGGCGCCGGCAGAAGCAATTCACTGGAAACAGAGGGGCGCCGGCCGCTTTTCTATCGAGTTTTTCCTGGGCGATCGATTGTTGGGCGATTACTGATTGATTAATGCGTGACAGTAAATCGGACGAAGGCAAACGACAGCGTTGGATTTGTAATATATTATTTTTCGACTAGTTTTTCAGCGAGTTTTCTGGCGAATAAAAGTCTCCGACAGTGACTACTTATGGTCGTTCTTAACTTAAATAATTTACAAATCTTAATTTTAAACAAATTAATTAATTAATTATTATTATTATTTTGATTAAAAAATCCTAATTTAAATATATTTCTATTAAAAAATAAAACTAAATTTCAATTAATAGTTAATTTTAGATAAATCCATATATTTTTAAATATTTACATAATGACAAATTTACTGATATATTTTGGTACGTCACTCTAATAGTACATTACGGTATGTGACATACGCTATAGAATTTTCCTTATTTGTTTAATTTTCCATTTTTCTATTTCTTAATGATTTTTTATAGAAATAAAGTTGGAAATAGAAATGAGGGATCTGGAATTGTAGCTTTAGCCATGGGGTCTTTCAATGGAGCTTGGACAGCAGTAATGGTGACTGTTGCAGAAGCTTTAGCTTCAACCGTCAATACGTTCGAGCACGGTAGACAAGTGGGTATAGTGTTCCATATGTATAGAAACAACGTTGGGTTCTTTAAACTTCTGCAAAGCCTGATCGATGGAATTTTTGGGATGAACATGGCGGCATGGATTTGCTTTGAAGAAGATACAATAAAGTCAGAAGCTTGTAAAGAAGCCATATACGTTTAGTGATGATTGTGAAAAGAAAAAATGTTGGATGATCAAAATGAAATTACATGAATAATTAAGTGACTAAATTATAATTTATCTTTTTTATGGAGTTAATAATTTAGAGCAATCAGAGTAACGATTTAAAATTTGAAAGGTAAAGCATCCTGATACTTTAGTGAACAACTCAATACAAGTTTATATACTTTAAGAAACAATAGTACATTTAATCTTAAAATTAATTTTTTTTAACATAAAAACTGATAGATATTTTTTAAAACATAAGAACTTTAATAACAAAAAATTTATTTAAAATAAAAACTGATGGAGTTATTTTCTAACATATTTTCTATTTTATACTCTGATCGTTTGACAGATACAAAGCAGTGATTTTGTTGATTCATAAGCCGTACAGGGTGTCAAATTTTCCCACCCTTTCACACTCGATTTCCATCATTATTTTCATTATTTTCACCCTTTCACTTTTTCATATGCTGGTAGCTAGATTATTTATTATATTTTAAATTTGTTTTTTAATAAAAAATATTAACGGTCATTTTAGTTAGACGTTAACATACTAATTGAGATATAACAGTCGTATAAGATTATAAGATTAAATTTTATCATATCTTAGTTAGTAGATTAACGTACAATTTAGATTACAGTCAAATTTTTAATAAAAAATGATCAATTTTAAAATATAATGAATAGTTAAATTACTATTTTATAAATTTTAATAATTTAATAATTTAATAAAAAATATTCAATAATTAAAAAATTATTTTATAATTTTTAATATTTAAATAATAAAATAATATACTATAATCAGGTAACTATTAATAGTCAAAAGGGACTCAACAAATTTTTGCGTAAGAGCAAATTGTCTACTAAAAAAAGTCAGAAATCTCACCATGTTCTACCTCCCCACGTAACGACGTCGTTCATGGAGAACATCTATATATCCGTTTCCCCACGGTTTTTTGAAACTCATATACTCCGCAAACAAGACGCACTCAAATAAAAATTCCATTTTCTTTCTTTTATTATCTGCCGCCAATCAGAAAAGTATGGGGATGTCTCTGGAAAGGCGGGTTAATATACGGCTAATATATAGCATAGCATTACCGGATACATTAAAATGTATTTAATAAATTCGGTTTAGCGGTACCTATTATGTTGACAACTAATAATGTTTTAGGTAGAAAATATGAAAAACTATTAAAAAATTTGGTAACCGGTAAACTTTGGTTATCGGTAAGTATCTATCCTTTTTATAAAAGTGTCCATACGTTTAACATATCAAGTAAATTTTACCGGTTTTGTCATAATGAATCTGGTTTTGTCATATTTTTACCTGTTATATTGTAAATTATCTATCCTTTTTATAAAAGTGTCCATACTTATTTCACTGTGAAAATATATTTATTATTATCTTTAGTTAATATTGTTAAATTTAAAATCTAAATAATATTTTATAAAATATCAAAACAATCAAATAATTTTTTGTGTAAATGAAATTATTAAATTAATATTGTAGGTGGAAAACATGAAACACTATTAAATAAATTGAAACATAAATTACATAACTTTAAAAGCAGTTTTAAATCCTAAAAGTGTCGATACTTTTAAAAAATATATCGATCCAAAACGATATACCAGGTAAAAATATGATAAAACCGGTAACAAAATGATAAAACCGGTAAATTTAAAAGTGTCGATACGTTATATAAGGATCGACACTTTGTGAATTTAAAAGAGAAGCAGTTATAGCGCCTATAATGTGTCGATACTTTAAAAAAAATATCGATCCACAACGATATAACAGGTAAAAATATGATAAAACCGGTATCAAAATGATAAAAACGGTAAAATGATACCGGATATATTGAAAGTGTCGATACTTTCGTAAGTACGTGTAATAAATTATCGACACTTTCAAAGAAATAGGTAATTATCCTTTCGAAAGTATCGACACCTGACATAAAAGTATCGACACTTTTGTATTTGTATCGATTAAATATAAATAACATATCCGATGAAAATATAAAGGCCATAGCTAAATATCCTCTGAAAAAAGATAGAACGGACGAGTTTTTGAAATCGAAGAGTAATTGTTGCTGCATTTCAGAAGGCGTTTCTAAAGCGAAGTTTGTTTGTTTGTTGCTGCAGTCGAATCGAAAAGTATGTTGTCGAAACCCTAATTTTTTATTATTACAGTAATCGCGATAGGGTTTTTTTATGTGTTGTTTGGGGTTTTGGAGTAAGGAAGCATTTGGGACCGATTGCAGGTAGAAATAGATATTCAAGGAAAAATATAAATGTCGATACTTTTATTAAATATTATAGGTAGAAAATGATATTATAGGTTGTATAAATGTGCCGACACATTTTGGTGTGGCCATTCAAATTCTTTTGAAGAAAACCGTTTTACACAAGAGTAATTATCTATATTGTATATTGAAAAGTGTATGTAACAAAATAATTTGATTTGCGTAAACTGATATATGAAGGAAAAATGGAGTCAATGGGTTGGAAAATTGTTGGTGGAGCAGATGACTTTGAAATTGAGGCCGAGACTCGAAAGCAACCAAAGGGTGGATATATGTACTTCTAGTAAGTATCAATGTCTTTTTGTTATTATTGTTGAAATGGTAATTGGATTAAAGTATCGATAAACTTTAAATTGATTACAAATTTTAAATGTTAACAGTATGGCCGAATGCAAAAGGATGAAGGGAGATGGCACACAGAGCGGTTCGGTATGTAAAATGAAATTGACATTGAGTAGTATTAGTATTTAGTGTTAATGTATTGATTAAGAAACGTTTATGTTTAATATTAGGTGAAAAAAGATGTGAGGTCCAAATGGAATTCAATGAGTGATGCTGAAAAGGAACCTTACATCACACAGTCAAGGAATGATAGTAGAGAATACAAAGAACGGAGGAAAGCACATGAAAATAAGGTATTCATTAAACTTGTAAATACGTTGATACAAAATATATAAGAACTATAACATTATATTGTTAAAAAATGTAGGAAGTGTCGACAAGATGCAGCATTAAAAGGGTGAATTTATTAATTAAACACCTTAAGGAGAAGGGTCAGTTGAATGTGCTGGGAGAAATAGGTTTTGGATCGTTGATCGGAGTAAGGGATCGACCTATTCGGAGGGAATTGTGTCGATCCTTGATGGCACAATTTGACGTCAGTCAATGTATGGCTAAGTATGGTGATTATTCATTCCTCTGGGGGTATCGACTGCTGCAGCCGTATTGGGGGTACAAAACAAAGGCAAAAGTGTTATAGAAGTCTGTAGGAGTAAGAACTGGAAAGCACTTGCCTCCAAATATGGTTTGAATCATAAGGTGACATATACTGAAGTTGAAGAGGATATCAAAAGTGGATCTTACTTGGGGGATGAGCTGAAGGCCCGAGTTCTATTGTACCTTGTCGGTATTTTCTTTGTCCAACGGGTGATACGTCAACGAACAAGGAATATATGAAGCTCATTTGCGATGAAGGCTTGAAGGCTGAATTCAATTGGGCTGAATATATCCATTCGAGATTGATTGAATCAATTATCACCTTTAAAAAGGGCAGCCAGAGATACCTCAAAGGGTGCATAGCAATCTTAGAGGTAATGAGTTGAATCACTTTTTTGTGTTTTTATATAAAAATTCTAATTTTATTATAAATGCAGGTTGCACTGTTCGATTTTTGGTCGGGCTGTGAGGCAGTGCCGGCTTATGAAAGAACCGGAGTGGCACGCATCCGTGCATGGGGGAAGGAAGAGGTGGTTAGAGTGATGGTGAAGTTGAAGTTGGATAGAGGGAAGAAGCAAGAAATGGTAATAAATGTAATTAAATAATATTAAGAATATAATCAATGTCTTAATATTGTAATTTAATTTTTGAAGGTTATTGGCAAGGATGTAGAGGAGGCAGTGGAGGAGGAGAAGAAAGGAGGGATGGTTGTATTGGGGGATGAAGGTGAGTGGGACGACGGTGAAGCAAAACAGAGTAACTTCGACATTTTGATGTCTGAATTGGCTGATATCAAAAAAATCCAATTTGAAAT